TAAGGGAATTTATCAGTGTTGGCCATCTATCAATTGCTGATCTTTTAGTCATTGTCCATGGTTGGTTTAGTGTATTTCTACTGGGCTGTGGCTCACCCTATATGGGAATATCATTTTCAGGTACAGGTAGCATGCCATCTCCAAGGACGTAGCTTGGGAGGCTAGAGGCGGGCAAACTTTTGTTGTTTTTTATTTTTGATGTATTACATGTAAATTCAAGCCAAGGGCTTAATGTGTAAATGAGTTAGTACTCTTTTGTTGTAACCAAGTGTTAACTTGGAAAGCTGTAAGCCTTTAGGGCATTTGCTTTTGTCGTTAACATGTAATACTTTTTGTAATGAAACTCTGATAAATGGAAGAATGTGGAACTTTTATATATCAATGCATGTCTATATTATGGGTTTAATGTTGTTATTTTGAGGGCGTTACAATATGGATCCTGAGCATCTTGCAACTCTGGTCCATATGGGTCTTGATTAGTTGATCCTTGTGAACTGTCTAAACTGTCTTCTGAACTGGTCTTTTGGGCCGGTGTAGGAGGATCATCATCAGACGGATCATCTTTTAATTGAGCTTGGGCCTGATTCATTAGGAGACGGGCCATCTGCAGTAGTTGATCACTGGCTGATCCAGGTTTGACCTTGGGCTTGGATGGAGCAACCTTTGATTTGTCTGATTTGGGCTTTGATTGAGTCTTGGGCTGAGTCGAGATTGCAGGAGCTTTGGACTTAGCCTTGGACTTTGTTTTATCAGATGATGAAGCAAACTTTGACTTGGATGATTTGGGCTTGGAACCACTAGATGAGGGGCTTCCAAGGTTGATTGGAGGAAGATTGGGGCTTCCTTGAGAAATGACAGCAACTGGGTTTTGCTGGGCTTTAATTATTACAGGAGTAAGAGCACATTGATCAATTGGGAATTCAGCTTGAACAATTTCAACAATGCGGTGAGGAGTGAACTTATCGCACCATTTAACAGAATGTTGCCGGATAATTATATCATCAGAAATACCATAATGCCATTTGAATATCCAAGGGATTTTATACTTAGATATAAAAATTAACAATAATGGAAATTTCCTTTGATGAGGAGTGAATGGGAAAATAGTAGCAAAATAGTTAATTTGTTCTATCAGAATATCAGGGAAGATATTTGAAATGGCGCCATAATGAGTCCACCATCTCAGAAACCAAGAAGGTAATTTTGATTTGAACTTTTGATCAAATTGAATGAACCAAGAGTGACTGAAGGTTTCATTTTGGTACAAGAAAACCTTGAACCAAGCATCAATGTAATCATGGTAACTGTATGGAGTAAAGTGACCAGGTAATTCATGAAGCTGATAAGGAGGACCCCATTCAGCTAAGGAAACAATGTTATGAATATAAATAGAATGATACAGAACCTTACTAGCATAGGTTCGATCATGAATAGGTTTAATCAAAATGGATTGATGATTGATCAGGATGTCTTTATAGAAGGTAAGTGATTTATCTGGATGGACAGGAACAAAATGCCATCCTGGACCAAAATAGGATTTAGCAAGATCATGAACAGCTTGACTCTTGGGTGACTAGGTTCTTTGAAGAACAGGTTAGTGGTGGTTGATTTAACATAATCAGATCGAGCAAACCTGATTGGATTAGCAGGAAATGGAGTAATTGAAACTGTTTGGCTGGGAGAAGCAAAAGGATTAGTAGCCAAAGCAGAAGAGTAATTAGGTCTAGGAATGTTACCAAGAACTTGGTAACGGTTAATCATTTCAATTGGATGGTATTGGGTTACTAGTTCCAAAGAAGGAATAAATGGAGGTTTATCAGAAGACGGGACTAAAGCCTTGGAAGGAGGCCTTGGACGAGACATCTGTTAGACCCCCTCTTACCGTCGCAAAAAGCCACATTACCGTCGCAAAAAGTATTAGCGACGGCTTCCGGAGCATTTGCGACGGCAATTTACCGTCGCAAAAAACGAATTTTTTTGTAGTGCTTATATAAGTCCGCACAGTTTTATGGACCTTGTATTTTGATATTTGCTTCCGTTAGTCTCTTATTTTACTAATCTGTTTCAGAGACTTTCGGTAATCTTAAGATTACTGCCCAGTTATGATGATAAACATATGGGACGAGTTTGAGTCGTGATACTTTTTCAACCATTTCTCTTTAAATTGTGTATGGATTTAATATCTAAAAAGAGATTTGTAAAAGAAAAGAAAAGAAAAATGAAAGGAAAGATTGACAAAAAAAAAAAATTAACTTCACTCTTTTTTTTTCTCCTTTTTCTTAACAAATCACGTCTCAAATCTGTATTTAAATACAACATTAATGATATGGGCAAATTGATAGTCAGAATACCAATATAGCAGGAGCATATGCAAAATTAAAAAATGTTATTTTTAATTAACATATCAACAAATTATGATACCCCATTTTTTTAATTGCCTACTGTACGGGGAGCAAATATTCCGGCAAGTCCGTACTCCTTTCTTCCGAGCTCCGTTTCTGTCCGATCACCTGCGAGCAAATAACGGTGAGCTACCCGGCGATGTGTGGCCGGAAAAACCCTCCAACGATCAAGTTAGCACACACCTTAGGATAGAGAGAGAGAGCGGGGGGTGAGAGTGTAGGAGTTTTCTTACAAAGTGTTCGTCTGTCCGTATGGGGGGCGCAGACATGCTTATATACCCTCTGCGCCCCATATCCATTCCCAGTCATCTCCTGACACGTGGCTCTGCTATCCCATCTGTCAGCATAAACCTTGCTGAACATCACCTAATCTCAACTGCCTGCCTTCTCAGCTAGAGCTCGGCAGCCGAGCTTCTCTATCCACGACCGTGCTGTGCTTCATACCTAAGCACTTCACTGGCTAAGCCCAAGGAGGACCAGGCTAGGCGGCATCTCGGCAAAGCCTAGCCCGGGGCACCTCCTGTGGTCGGCCTTCCTGCCGATCAAACGATTACCTCGGCTGACCACGCCTTTCCGGGCGCCGGTCACTCAGCTTGACTGGCTCCGCCATTGCCTGGCTCCGCCATTGCCTGATCAAGCAGCTCGGTCCAACTGAGCACTGCCTTACCGAGCAGCCTCTTTACGGTCTGGTCGGCACATGCTTGGCCCAACTCTTGCCCGGCCCAATTCCTGGCAGCCCATCAACGGGCGGATCGCCGGTCATCTCGGCCCCATGCACCATTAGGCTCTCAACCTGCTCGGCCGTTACCTCGGCCCAATTCCAGATCATAAATCTCCCTCTCAATTGCCCCTTAATTCCGTCCGTGCGAGCGTGACTGGGATTACCTATACTTCGACCGGGGTAACATTTCTTCGGTCTTCAAAATGCCAAAGGGCGACCGGGCTAGTTAATCATTACTGTCTGCAAACTTGCCCGGTTATACTCCTCGGCTGACGTCCTCTTCTTTGAAAGTATCCCGGTTGGCTCTTCGACTCGTCAACCTGTCTCTTCAGTTCTGACGTCTCCATAAATGGGGACACGTGGCGGGCTGCCATTGGTCCTCGAGCAGCCAACCCGCCGTTTTTTCCAGAATTTGAATTTGGGCAGTCTTTCTTGCCTACATATACAAGACCCCTCTTACTCAATTTCTTCCTACTGCTTCTCTTCTATCCGACGCTTCAGAGCTCAAGCAACTTCCTCTCAGCCTCGTCTGCCATTCTTCGTGCTTGAAGGAACAGTTCCTGCCCTTCACTGGTAAGACCTTCAATCCCTCTTTAGTTGCTATCTTCTTTAATATTACACACATTAGGGCACTAAAACTTAGTTCCTAGGGCATAGGCCATAGAAACCGTCCCAAACCTCCCACTGTTCTTGGTGTTCTTTATTTTCCTGAAGAACACTGAAGAAGTGGGGAGGACCGGGCTCTTGGTCTTCATTTGATCCAAAAAACCAATCTAACCGAGCAAATAACATGTTTGTCTCAATCCCAGCAAAAACCGAGATAACAAAAGGACTTGGCCGCTCAACCGGGCTAACATCTGGTCTGCTTGGGCGACCAAGATCCTTAGTTAGATTAGACAACCGAGGTGGTTTGGCACTCTTAATGACCGAGCTAAAGTCTAGCTCCTTTCGCGCGACCGCGCTCACACTTACACTTGCCATCATTTTCCTGCAGAGTCCAAGGGGACCACTGTCCATTCCTGAGGCTCTCCAGGCCGAGCAACAACCCATTACCACAGTGCCAAAACCCTCAGCCGAGTTATCCTAGGCCGGCCACAAATGGGGAAATTTCGATTTCTCGTAGATACTCCGGCTGCATTGGCTGCATTCAAGGAGGAGTACGGCATCCCGGCCGATGTCCACCTTGAACTTGCAGTAATTGAGACAACGCCTTGGGGCAGGGAGGAATGCCCCTTCATCGTGCTATCCATCGTTGAAGGGGGCCTTCGTTTCCCACTCAATCCACTGATTACCGAGTTCCTGCGCCGAACCGGGCTAGCACCCATCCAAGTGTCCACCAACACTTACTGGATAATAAACGGCGTGCACGAGCTAAACAACCGGTTAGGCATAAGCCTAGGTTTAGCCGAGATCCTGCGCCAATACACCCTAGGCTACACCGGCGACGGCCTCGCCTATTATCTCAAGATTACACCGGGTAGAGAGAAAATCGTGACCGGCACACCAGACAAGGATCTTCACGACGATGATTTCTTCTGGGTGTCAGGCAATTACGAGACAGCCAAGGTACCGGGTTGGATGATAAGCAAAAACTTTGGCAGCACATGTAAGCCGCGCAAATTACCTCGGTTAATACACTTTCTTCATGTTTCTGTACTTAATCATTTTCTTTCTTGTTTCTTTTGCAGCCATCCAAGCCTTGCAAGCCAACTATAATTTCCCCAACGTAGAGGCAATCAGGACTGTGCTCCGCTACCGCGACCGAGATTGCAACCAATTGCTCGGCTACAGTCCCACATACAGATACTCCGCTCCCCGTCGGAGTAAAGTTACAGACTTCCTTCGCGCTCCAACACCTCCACCAGATCCAACTCTGCTAGACGTTCCACTCATTCGCTTGACAGAGGAGCAAGAGATGGCCAAACGAAGCAGAATCAAGAACCTGCTCACCGCCACGTCTGCCGAGATGCCGAGCGTTGTCACCCGCTAGCCAGCCGCCGGTCAATCCAGCGGCGCTGTGGTCGCCCTTGCCTCTCAAGCGGCCAGGCAGTCCAGCCGAGAACCTGCTCCACGTCGTGCCGGTAAAAGAGCTCGCGCAGACCCATCTACCGAGCTTGTCGCCGAGCTGACTACCGAGCATCCATCTGACGCTCCTGTCCCAGTGTCGGCCTGGCGTCCACAGCTGAAGCACCAGGGTCAAGACATCCCGGCCACGGCTTTGATCAAGGGCGATAAAGAGCATTTGCTCGCCTTCGATCTTACCAAAGCTCTTCTTCTACCGAGCGACGTGGTCGGCAGCGACCACGTCCCTGACACTTGGCTGATAAAATCATCAGTGAAGTCGATGGCTAGGGTAAGTGAATGTGCCTCTGAAATTTTCACAAGTGTTTGCTCGGTTTTTTCTCTAATCAACTTTACTTTTTGCAGGCCATCCAGAAACAACACCTAGTAATGGAGCGCATCCATAGACTTCGGCAAAAGGCCAATGACACAGCCAGCCAAGTCCAGAGCCTCCAAGCCGAGCTCGGCCGGGCAAAGTCTTCACTTGAGATGGCTAATGCAGACAACAACAGACTGCTCGGTCAGCTGGATGCGGCCGAGAAAAAACGGGATGAGCTCCAGACCGAGGTAAGCGCGCTCAAAAAGTCGCGAAAGAAGGACTGCCGGGCTGCTAACAACGCCGGCTTCAACGAAGCCGAGCAGAGCTATAAGAAACAAGTCTTTGTAACACAAGATATTTACTTCAAAGCTGGCTGGAAGTTCGCCTGCGAGCATCTCGGCCAGGGCTCTGATACTGACGTATTTTCCAATCCTCCTCCTGCTTCACTACCGGTCTACCTCGTGCCTTATGCAAACGACGTCTTCAGCGCTTTGCAAGCTGAGGCCGAGGAAGGGCTCAAAGAGGGAGACGCCGAGACAGATACAGAGGCAGAGGATGCCGAGGTGCAGGAGCAGCCCGGCCATGACGAGCCCGGTGAACAAGACAAAAGTCCAACCATCAATCTTGATGCCGCCGAGGACGAGTTTACCAATCTCTCCCCCTTAGTTTAGTTCTCTTTTTGTATTTTTGCTTTCAATGCTTATGATGTAACCGGGCTCTGTCCCCACGTTTTGTATTGACTTTCTTATCAATGAAAAACTCAAATTTTGCAAAGTGTTTGCACGGTTGTCATCAATTCCATCTTCAGCAAAACATCTCGTCAACCGGAATTCATAAATCGGTTGAAGTACTTAAGCAGAACAAAACAGCAAATTCATAAACCGAAATAACCATCTCGGTTGGTAATAACAGAGTTGAACAAATCACCAACTCTTCCAACCGGAGTAAATCATCTCGGTTGGGAATAGCAGTTGAATAAGTCACCAACTCTTTCAACCGGAGTAAATCATCTCGGTTGGGAATTCGAAGTTGGACAAAACACCAACTCTTCCAACCGAGTTCCTGCGCCGAACCGGGCTAGCACCCATCCAAGTGTCCACCAACACTTACTGGATAATAAACGGCGTGCACGAGCTAAACAACCGGTTAGGCATAAGCCTAGGTTTAGCCGAGATCCTACGCCAATACACACTTGGCCACACCGGCGACGGTCTCGCCTATTACTTGAAGATTCGACCGGGCCGAGAAAAAATCGTAACCGGCACACCAGACAAGGATCTTCATGACGATGATTTCTTCTGGGTGTCTGGTAACTATGAAACAGCCGAGACACCGGGCTGGATGATTAGCAAAAATTTTG